ACTGATTTTGTTAAAATAATATTTCACGACAATAAATACATTGTTTTAGCACACGTTACAATGTAAACCTTAATGGTTTGCAATAATGCGTTTCTGACAAATCAGTGTCTTTATCTCTGCATTTTCTGTATTTATCTCGAGATTTTAGATTGACTTATCTGGTCACAAGTTTTATCTTTTGCAAATTCATACAATACTTTTGAGTGGTGTTAATTGTATAATATTCACCAAATCAGTTATTATACTACTTATACTATTCACATATTTATTATGTGTGTGTATTATAAAAAAATTGAGATATTTTGTAATTATGCTTACAATATGTTCATAATTAGCAGAAAATTAAAATTAACAACACATTAACACATTCAGTCTTATGATTTCTTTATAAATATTATATAATGATGAAACACGTATTTGTCATAAGTCATATATAACATAAAAACATTATTATTTACATCAGTTTAGCAGATTCATTTATTGGTTTTATACATTTATAAATTTTTGTACTTTATTAAACTTTTTATAATTTGTGCCAAACTCAAAGAAAACTCAATGTTAGTAAACCTTTAAATGAGCTTGTATGTATATAAAATAAATAATATAACTTTCCCTACCAAGTGAACAGAGTACCACTTGCCACATGGTTCACTACTTTAGTATGTTTTCAAGCCCTGTATTGAAAACAAACTTAACTTAACTACTTCCGTGGCCGAACGGTTACCATGCCGGACTGCCACGCAGAGGTCCCAGGTTCGATTCCCGGGCCGGGAGAAATATTTGTATGGCCGAATATGGAGAAGTATTTGTATACGTGTATGTATTTCTTTCGTGAGTTTGAGTGTAATTTGTGGTTGTCTATGTGTGTGTCCATGGCACCCGCGACACAGGGTTTCCCTAGTGCGGGGCTATGTCGAGTGCATGCGTTATTATTATTATAAATATAAGTTTTAATAAAGGTTTTAAATTCTTTACAATATTCACTTGTCACTACTGTACATTACAGTTATTACCGTGGCCCTGAACAAAACAATTAAGTCAATTATGAAGAAAAATACTTAGTAAATTAATATGTCCTTAACAAAATGTGTCTTGTGTAGAATATAGTGAGTGTATGCTCAATCATGTCAGTCATAAAATTCAAATAAAATTGTCAGAATTACCAAGATAATTATTTCTCAAATTACAATACCCAGTGATGATACAATCAAGTTTTGTACCTTGTGGTAAGCGACATGTTTGTCTACAGCAGTTGCAATGCTGCTCAGAGCTTTAAATTGCAAAGATGTGAGGGGTCATGCCCTCCTTGTCTGTAATTTCATCAGCAGCAACTTTACCCTTTTAAAACTGACACGCAGGAATACTCATATTACTGCTTGGCAGTAAAAATAGATATGTTGGTAGTTACTTTCCTGGATTAATTCTTTCACAAGGAGCTCTATTGTTAATAGAATTATCCAACAACTGCCTGATGATTCTTAGTTTTGGCTTTTTAAGTTTGGATTAAATTAATTTATTTAATTACTGATTATTTGAAAATTAAAAGAACTACAAACACTCAATCTCATCCAAAACTTTTTTATACAAGTAATTAATATCAAACTTTGGTAATAGTATAAATAATAATAAAATAAACTAAAAAGTAGTATAAGTATGATGAAAAATCATCCTACAGGACAGGCTAAGTTGTCTAAGCCATACTGCCAGATGTTAGATTTAAATTTTTTTCAATAGTTATATTGAATCACCTTCACCAATTATTTTTATTCTCAGAATATTGAAAGTCCTTATTTCTCTTAAACTAAAAGTGTGGTAAAAAGTTTTGTTTTAAAAGTTGTATAAGAAGTAAATCTGATTGTTGTGATTTTGACAAGGAAACTATTCAGTTCTTAGGTTTTCGCGATTGTTACACATAGGAAATGAAACTACTTTTCCGGATTTAAATTGCGTATATTTGTTTTTTCAAATAAACCGACGTTTCAGGCCCTTTACAGGTCCCAGGTCACAGGCACCGTGACCGTGAAAAAACAACTATACGCGATTTAAATCCCGAAAAAATAGTTTCATTTCCTCAGGAATCATAGTTCTCAAAATCACTAAATGAATCATAGCCATAACCTAATTGTTTTTTTTTTTATTAGTTTATCACTAATACAGGAGTGCCATATCATTTTGTAAAGTTATCAATATAAATTAAACAAATATATATAATTATCAAATAAACAGACCTTTTCTTTGCAAGAAATATGTTTATGGGAAAATGGTAGTGTTTTGGATACTGCAACCATTGCAGGGGTTTCATTTTCCAGTAACCCATCACATGTCGTACTCATATACATGTGTCCATAACCATTTTGGTATAACTTTAAAAACTTGTAACTTTTTTTAAACTTATGAAACTGGTGGATGAAAATGTACATTAGAGACACCATATCGCTATAGGAAGCTACAGTATCAAAATTGTACGAAAACCATGTATCTCTAACAATTGTATGTGGATGTGTTAATGAAATACAAAAAATACATAATAATGTGTAACTGACTTATGCAGTGTATTTGTTGTGAGGCTAGACTCATGGAGACCTTGTTATCTCTCTCTCATTACATATAGGAGTGAAAAAAAGGTTTTTAGGCTCAACTTTAGTATACTTGACGTTGAGTTGGGTGTTCAAAATTAATTTTGGAGATAGACCTAGTTAAAAGGAACCTCTCCACAAATTTCCAGTTTTAGGACGCCAAAGGTTTTCGAGAAAATAATTGTTAAGTTAGGTTTATTTATACAAACGCGGAAGTCCCTCTGGGCAGAAACAAATTGGATTATTTAGGTTAAGTTACGTTTCTTTTTTGTACAAACGCCGAAGTCCCTCTGGGCAGAAATGAATTGGATTATTTAGATTAAGTTAGGTTAGGATAGGTCAGTTTTTTTGATACAAACATGGAAGTCTTTCTGGGCAAAAATGAATAGATATAGGTAGATATTGGAGTCTGTGCATGCACTAAACGTCAAAATATATGATTTTGAGGTTATTTTTCACAATTTTTTTCCTCGAAAACTATCAATATTCTTAGTTTGAAACTTCATAGGGGGGGTTCTCCTCGCCTACCCCTCATTCCCACAATTTTTACTCTTTTTCCCGTGCATTTGGTGCGAAAATATATAATTTTGAGGTTATTTCTTTCAAATTTTCAAAAATTAACATCTCGGAAAACTATCAACGTCCTAACTTTAACCCCTCTGACATCACGTTTACGAAAGTCTTTCCGGTTTCTTTCTAAATTGAATATTAAGCTAGTACTTACCTTATACTGTTTTGTTTCGGTGTCTCTCCATACATACTATTATCTATACTATCACACATTGCATATTGATCCATCATTCGTTGCTCATATAATGCCCTGTTCATCATCACTTTTTCATCTATTGGATAAACTTTCATTTGGTAGGGGATATCAGTATTCTGTACAGGATACTGATTATAGGGCGATGTATGCAGTGAGGAATCAATGTCATTGTTTAAAGGAGATTGTACAGTGCTATTTGGACTACATGATGTGCTGTTTAATACATCATATTGGACTACGGCTTCTAACGGTGTATAGTTTGTGACCCCATCATCACGTTTGAAGTTCTTAGAGCTAGATACACTGTCATCAGGGTCTGTTGAAACACGTTTCTTAGCACGGTTCTCTTCAATTTTCCTCCGTTTCTCTGCCTTATCTTCATCTGACATAATGAACTCTTTCACCATGCCCACAGAGAAACATTTTTCTAAACGGCATTTTTGACAAAATCTCCTTGTAACTGTTGTTATATCACAGTTGTTTGTAAATGGACATTTAAATTCTTTACTCGTTAACGCGTTACGTCGAAAAAACGCCTTACAACTCTCGCACGATATCGCGTTGAAGTTGTAACCTAGCGCTCTGTCCCCACACACAAGACAGATCTTCTGCAAACCAGCTGGAATATCTTTTTTAACTCCACTTGGTTGAGGCGACTCAACCTTTTTATCACAGTTTTCCCCAACACTATCCATTTTCACTTTAATACAGTATTAGAGCACTCACACACAAACATTCCATGATTTACATGGATGTTTTTATAAATACAAAGTAAATATTTTCCCACTTTGTATCACGCAAAAAAGACAAGCTAAAGGTTAGGACGTCATTCGACGCGCGAAAGCGATTATAAATAATTAGCGGTCAACGATGAATCGTGGACATGGTTGTTAGGGAATGATAACGCGATTAATTCAGGACATTTATCGATAAACTAAGAAAAATGCAGAAAACAACACCTAGGTAAGTGACTAACGTCATATTTTAACATTATCGTATGAGAACTGTCAAAGTCATAATTTTGTGTTCGGATTTTCAAATTAACTTTTGTGATGTTGCTATTGTAGGGCCCTTTTTTCAAAACTTTCTGAAAAATTGGAAAAATATAATTCGAAGGCTCAAATTATGTTCTTCGTTTATAAATATTTTTTTAACTTTTATTTAGGGTGAATAATAAAAATTGTATATTTAGAAATAAGTTAGAAAAACGAGATTTAAAAATAATGGACAGCAGCATTGACCTATTAACAAATGGACGTCGGGTTCGCGCTAAAAAGTGTCCGCACTTATAGGGCGTTAAAATCGCATACAGAGCGTCAATCGCGCAGCAGTCTTCGTTTGTTCGACTGACAGCGCGGTGGTCAATTATGCCGTACTATATATAATAATAACTTGTAAAAATTACTGCAGTAAAGTGTATAAACAGGATTTTGTATCATATTTTCAGTAAACAAATATATTGTGTTATTATAGCTATCATTTAAAAGTGTTATTTTGTACAGTTGTATAGTATTTAATTTATATATAAATTAATCGTAAATATAAATTACAAAAGCACATAAAATAATCAAATCGCTAACTGTCCTTTTTCTACACATTGCATGCGCAAAAGATGGAAATAGACCCATTACGTCAATTTCAAGAAGCTTATATAAACTTCTTGGTCATTTTCAATTGTTCGAACCATAAGCGATTGAAATATTTGAAACAAAGAAACTATAGAGTCGTGTTGATTTTAATCTTATTTTTAAAATGACTTTTTATTAAACGTTAGCAATAACTAACAAAACATTGTTGTACTCGTTTTACGGCTAGGGATTCCCTATCGGAAATCAGAAAATACATTTGCCCGAAGTAACGTTAGCTCGAATTTTCATAATGTCAAATGTGTTTTTTTAGGAATATTACAAAACAAAAGCTAATTTTGGCTTTGTGAGAAGCATTAAAATTACTTGAAAGCGTAACAGTCTTATAATAAATCGCTTTTCGGAATTACGGATATTTGAGTTTACGTTTAGTCGGAATATCGGTACATTTCTTATAGTACACGCTTATTTTCACATTTGTAATATTTGTATGTATGTATCTGCCCAACGCTTTATTATATCTTCAAGTGACTTTGTACAAAATTCGACATAGTAATATACATAAAAATTAATTGATATTTACAATAAAGGCTGCTCCATTACTCTTGTATTCAAGTAATTTTCAGTCGAAGCTAAATATGGTGCATTTTGTTAAGCTTCCAGTAGAAGCTGAATATGGTGTTTTTGGGTCCTTTAAATTTTTGCTAGCTAAATTAAGCAGTACTGCAATGACGTTACAATTTAAATTAAATGTTTTAGTTTTTTTATATTTTGTTACATGTCACTACATTTGTATAGGTTAACTTCGGACATTTTTTTCGTGGTTTTTGTATTAGACCCGACGTCCATTTGTTGGTAGGTCAATGGCAATAACTAACAAAATATTGTCGTACTCGTTTTACGGCTTGGGATTACCTATCAGAAGTCAGAAAATACATTTGCCCAAAATAACATCAGCTCGAATTTTCATAATGTCAAATGTATTTTTTTTAGGAAGTTTACAAAACAAAAGCTAATTTTATCTTGTGAAAAGCATCAAAATTACTCGGTAACTGTTTGATTATAAATCAGTTTTCGGAATTACGGATATTTGAGTTTACGTTTAGTCGGAATATCGGTACATTTCTTAAAGTACACGCTTATTTTCACATTTGTGGTAATATTTGTATGTATGTATCTGCCCAACTCTTTGTTATATCTTTAAGTGAATTTGTACAAAATTCGACATAATAATATATATAAAAATTAATTAATATTTAGGAGATAGGCTACTCCATTACTCTTGTGTTCGAGTAATTTTCAGTCGAAGCTAAATATGGTGCATTTTGTGAAGTTTCCAGTAGAAGCTGAATATGGTGTTTTTGGGCCCTTTAAATTGTTGCAAGCAAAATTAGGCAGTACTGCAATGACGTTACAATTTAAATTAAATGTTTTAGTTTTTTATATTTCGTTACATGTCACTACGTTTATATAGGTTGAGTTCGGACATTTTTTCGTGGTTTTTGTATTAGACCCGATGTCCATTTGTTAGGTCAATGGACAGCAGCGAAGAAATACCTTTCCAATAATTCCATCGTTTTTATTCAGTAACTTAAAATTTTCACAGGTGTCAAGGTCAAATTTGGAAAAATATCAGGAAAAATATTTCTTTTTAGGATTTTTTAAAATCAATATTTGTCCAAGACCTATCATTGACATCGCACATGTAACCAAATACTGTCGTAACTCAAAATTGTGGAATTGAGAAAACACAATTCGAAAATAAAAAATATACTGCAATGCTTCAAATGTGAATTAACACGGTAGTTGGTTTCGTGGGCTAATATTTATATGGACATTAAAATGTGATACACGTCATTATGTCGAGATATTAATTTTTCGGCAGCATTCAATTTAATTAGAAATTTATATTTGATTATTAGAGTAAATTCGCTGAGCGGGAGGAATTGGTCTATGGAAATCCATTTGTAACGTGCTGTTTTTTTTAAATTTTGTTTAATTTCGGGTATTCACTCTGGGCGTTTTGGAGGGAATAGTGTCATTTCGGTCTGTAACCAATGGTAAGCATCATTATAGGTCAAACAATATAAAGGTTTCACCCCAGGCTCGCCAATGTTATTGGTCTCTTGCTTTTTCTGATTAATCATTAATAATTTAAAAAACATCAGTGTAAAACACGCGTGAGGGAATTGCTCGCAATTTACAATTTGTGTTTACTATATTGATTTCACTCAAATGATAACTTAAACTTAAACTTGCTCGAAAATGTTTGCATTACTTTTAAGCTTTCAAAAAACGGAACACGGAAAGTTTTTCATCTAAGGACAACGCCTGCAAAAGTTTTCAAATCTGTTACTGTCCGCTGCTCTAAACTTTTAAATGAACTATGTAAACAAACACAAGAAAAACTCATAATTTTATTCAACTACCAAGTGTTCCTAATAGTGAGAATTAAAAATATCTACCTGTAGAATCCTACTACGAGTCTACTGTGAGTTATCGCTAGCGACCATTTTTTTTTGTATGGCTAATTATACAGCGCTCCTAGCGGTCACAGGAAGAAACAAAATTTTGTATACATTATTATTATACATTTTACGCGGTCGTTAGCGATAGCTGTCACTGTAATCTCATGGTAGAGGCAGTGACTGTACCGATACCACACCATCAGAAGTTCAGCAGACATTAATAGTAATTGATGGGCCTGGAAAAACAATAATATTTTCTTTTAGCAATTGTTCTAACATGTCAAATATAACTTTTAATTTTAATTAATATTTTTTTACTTTTTCTCCTATGCAACTTGTCTTTAAGTCTTGTATTATTTCTTCACATTGTTTGAGAAAAACACTACATATGCCTCTACGGGAACGGGGATTGCTTGACTCGTATTTATGCAACGTAACTCATACTCGTCCAGCAATCCGTTACTTCCCGGCTTCTGCAATAATGTAAATACCTACTAATAACGCCGCCAGAATTAAAAGAAACTGCCCAAACAGTTATTGAGAACTTATTTTCTGAGAAATCCAGAAATAAATACAACAAGACATTATGAATCGTTTTTACATTGGAAAAGCAAGAAAAATGTACCTTCTTTTTCCCAAAACGTTACGCTGTCTTATTTTAGTGTAAAAGCGCAAAAATACAAGCAAAGTACTTTGTGGTCTTTGTAGTCTGTGTTAAAAAGTACTGTAAATAAATTAAGTTTTCTTTTATTTTCCTCGTAGGTGTAGAATAAAGCACTATGTATTACTCGGAACAAAGTGCGATTCCAACTTGTATGTTTTATGGCCCTCGGTCAAGTAATGGTCACTTTCTCAACAAACAAAGTACCTACTATTTAATTGTATTTAAAATGTATAATTTAAACTATCTCCGTGGCCAAACGGTTACCATGCCAGACTGCCACGCAGAGATTCCGGATTCGATTCCCGTGTCTGGAGAAATATTTGTATGGCCTACATCTATTGCTCTCGTGAGTTTGGGTGTAATTTGTGGTTGTCTTTGTGGGTTTCGAAACAGGGTTTCCCTAGTGCGGGGCTATGAGTGTGTGCGCGTTAAAAAAAGAAAAATTTAGTGCTGCCTTTTCAGTTGTTACTCAAATTCTGTACATACCGGAGTCATTATTTTTATGATAGTTTTTATTGATGGGCAAGTGAAGCGAGTTTAAGCTCTGCCTGTTGGCCAGAGCTTAAAATCGCAAAGATCCGAGGGGCTCTGCCATTGCACCAAGACGTCCCAATTGACTTATAATTTCACCACCAAACTTACCCTACAAAACCGAAACTTAGTAATGCTTACATTACTGCTTGGCGGCAGAAGTAGGTAAGGTGGTAGTACCTACTTCCCTGGACGAACTCATTCACAAGGAACTCTACTGCTACCTACTATTAGACTATTGAATAAATATAAAATAAACAAATGGTAATGTGAGATCGGGGTGGTCGATCGAGCCACTGAGTCGGAAGTTTTTTAAGTTAGACACAGCCAATATACATATGTATTATAACTACAAAACAAGTAATTCAGTATTTACAATACTAGCAGATTTGTCAGCCTAAAGTCTAATAGCTTCACTCAGGAACGGTTTACATTAAACATTTTTACCTTACAAATAAATGAATGAGTGAATGATTGAGCGATAGTGGTCAATATTTTCAAAAGGAATTTTGATTGAACACAACCAAAACATGAAAATAATGTCGTACTAGGTATAGTAAATTATACCTAAATGTGACCAAATGTCTGTTTAGAAAGAGCAACCTGTCCAGTTATTACTTATCTTCTCTATATGTCGAATCTTCCTTATAATTAATGAGTAACAGTTTTTAATCAATGTTATGATGTCAAGTTTCATTTGCCCACCTATATGAAACACAGATACTTTTGATTTTGATGTCGTGCCAAACGAGACAATTTACATATTTAATTCGCTTCTAGGAGAAGAAAAGATGTATTTATATTTGTAACCAAGAATCACTCAGGGAAATAAACAAACTGAACGAACGTGACACAATATGGCTGCATGACGCGGAAACCTGCTGTTGCTATTTGACGACTCTGCTATAAAGACAATACGAGGTATAATCAGCACTTTTACAAACGTAGTGGCAGAGTTGCAATTTTATGTCGTAGTCACTTTCAATCATCGGATGAATTACCAAATATCTATTTAACCACTATGTATTTGTTTTGCTAAAAAGGCGGCGTATTATTAATGTATCATTGTTTATCAGTGTTTTCTTCTTCTCGTTATTGTTACATTGTTACTTAAGCAAGTTTATTATTCCGCCTTTGTGTGGCCAGAGCATTAAAGTTATTGTTTTTTCTTTGTCGGAATCTTTTAAGTTTTCACTTGAAACTATTGCCTATTTACTTATAACAGCATAGCAGATATTCTTGTATTGTCTAATTTAAATTACGGATACGTGTTGGTAGGTCAATCATAGGAATCTTTTTGTTTCTTCTTGTAGTATCGTCGCCTCTTTTATTTTAAAATTATAGACTTGAAATAATGTTGATTGCATCTTTGGCCGCTTTGACGTACTCCCTCGTGGTAATGATGTGGGGATGTATCACTTCCACGTGGGTGTTGGAGCATCGCAACAGCATTGTGTTAGATTAGCATCTCTAAAACCCCTACTTGCAAGTCCTGTCTCTACGTTTGTCGTGTATCCTATATACTCTTCCTTCATCCTCGTATATACCTTGGTATCGCAATACCGAAAGGTATGTGTGAGTCGTTAGTTTTGTAAATATACTTATAATTATTATTTAAGAAAACTTTTCATTACAGCTTAATGGGTGGAAAGAAGTACGTACTATTTTTTTTTTTTAATTCTAATGTAAGTGTGCATTTGACCTCCATCTCACCTGATGGAAAGTGACGATGAGGTCGACCATGGAGCATGCACACCTAAATAATGCCTAGTCACTCTCGCCTTGAAAAGATCCAAGTTATAACGTTCGGGGAACAAGTCTGCAGCCAGGGAATTCCACCCCATAGCCGTTCGCCATATAAATGTGGAAGCGTAACGCTTCGTGCGAATCTTTAGAATATCCACAACAGAGGGGTGGAAGCCAAGCCTACGCCTACTCCCCCGATGATGAAAAGGGGAAGGTGGAATTAAATCGTGTAATTCCATCGCACACACTCCGTGATATATTACATTTAAGGACCTGCAGCTTCGCCTCTACTAATTCCGAGTCACCTAAAAGCCTCTTGGCACGCTTGTCAATTGAAACCAAGGTGGCCAGTAGGTATGTAGCAGAGCCATCCCAAATTTCTCTTTCTTAATTATAAAAAATATTTTATCACGTCCTCACATGGCCATAGAGTGTTTATGTTTAATGGATATTATGATAGTGGATCTGTTGAACAATATTTTATTGTATCTGTGTACTATCGAATTGTACTTGAATATAATTCTACTCTCTAGTTTTAACTCTTGTATAATCTCTATTTTAAGAACCTACGTTTATATCCTGCTGTTTATGTACAATTCACTTTGCTACACCCCGACGGGGTATGTTTGTACTTAGTATGTAATGCTTGTACCAACATTATTTGCAATAAATAAATAAATAAATAAATAAATAAATAAATAAATAAATAAATAAATAAATAATTATTTTATATTAAATATTCAAAGTTAAAATGAAACATGTCCATTTCAAAGTTCAAACTTTTACCGCAACCATAAAAACTTCCGGGGGACAAATCAATAAAAGACAATCCAACCACGCTTCTCCATTTATTCTCTTTAATTCACCAAAAATGAATACTATAATTAAATGTTTAGTATTATTTCTATTAAATTACGCGACACGAGTACAATGTGAAACGTATAGTGTGAAGATCGGCACCGAAACATATGCAAATGTGGTTGACAGCCGGTTTTTAAGTTTTACCGTCGACCCTATGTATTTGTTTGCTAATAGTGAAAAGTATAATAGGTAAGTGATTTTTTAATGGCCGTGTAATACACGCCCTTCTTGTACAGTCATCCAAGAAGGTTGTGATCTCCAATTATTGTGAGCACTTAACTGAAATAAATTTCTGAGTATTGCACGCCGTCAGGGCGCTGCAGGGGACAGTTATTTATATTTTCAAGTGTCCTGGACTTCTCCAGACCAAGCTTTGTTACACCAAGGTAGTTCTGTGATTTTTCTTCTTTCATGTTTGGTGTGATACAGATTAAAAACTTTTTAATATGCATCTCGTTTTTATGCATTTTGATTTCATCGTGGTTTAGATTACAGTTTTATTGCGAGGGCTAAGCTAACCCGTCCGCTTAGTGTGACCATCAAAAACTTTGTTTTTGAAAAGACCTGAATTCATCAGTGGACTGTAAAGGTTGATGTGAACTTGTAGCGACAATTTTTATTCATTTAGTTCAGTTATGCTTTGTGTTAGTATTTAACTTCTATAATCAACTCTATCCAATATATCTACTGTAAAATATAATTTTAACACTACAGTGTTTCTTTGCGTGTTCTTAAATCAAAAATAATTGTATTAGTTTAGAGCAAACATGCCCTAGAATCGCCCCGTGCCCTGCACTGGCACGTAATATAGTTTAGGTGCTAATATCAATTTTATTTATAATATATATTTATCGTTAAATTTTCAGTCAAGAATCAGTGTGTATGGCGTCATCGCTTACACCTGCATACATCCGGATAGCAGGTCCCTCCACATCACATCTTTCTTTTACTAACTCCACAATCACATACACAAACCTTAATAATCATGAAAGTGAACAACAACCTAACAAAAAGTTAAAAAAACTAGCATTAGAAAACATTGTCAAACATTTACGCATTAGAAATGGCAAAGAAAGTCTTTCTGCTGAAAATTCGGAAGAGTTGAATTCTAAATCCAAAGAAATTGATCTAGAATTTAAAAGAATAAAAAAGCATCTAGAATTTAAGGAGTCGAAAGAATTCGAAACGACCGAGCATCTAGACTTGCAATCGAAAGAACAAAATTCAAAAGAATTAATAGTAACAAATGAAGACCAAAAAGACATCATAGAAAAAGAACAAAGATTAGAAATAAGCCCTGGACAGTGGAAAAAGTTCGTTCATTGGGCGAAAGATAAAGGTTTCGATTTAGTATTTGCATTGAATAATGAGGACAAGAATCCTGCGGGACTATGGGATCCTAATTCGGCTTTGGACGTGTTTAGTATGGCAGCAAAGGCTAATGTTAGCGAGATATATTGGCAGTTGGGCTATGGTAAGTATTTATTTTTCTATCACCTCAATGTTTTGTCGAGAATTTACCTAATAAAGATAATAAGACATCTGTTAAATTAAATAACTTTTTATGTAATTCACAACCAAATGTTTGTTTGTAAATTACATAGTAGTTATTTAATTTAAGATCATTCTGTCAAGAGTATTAATTCTAACAAAAGGCATATAGTAACGTATATATAGGCACTAGTTTAACCTTTGGACCTCCTTCATGTGCAAAGAACGGCATTTTTAAATAAGCTAGTCTTATCGAGCTCTTGGGTTTTCGCGATTGTTACGCATGGGAAATGAAACTATTTTTTCGGATCTAAATTGCGTATATTTGTTTTTTCAAAAATCCAATATTTCGTGCCCTTTGCAAGTCTCATGTCAGCCGTAATCATGAACTTTTTTTCTGAAACTATAACTTTGAATAGCGGGCATTTTAAGACGAAAATCTTAATAGAAATTTACTGTACGGTCCTATTACCTACTTTCTTCTTGGTAATTCTTTGTCTGCACTATGTCAATGTACTATCTTTGTAATATTTGTACATCTTGCTATTCCTTTCAGAATGCTCAAACCAATCAGTAGATGAGTACTTAAATGACCTGGAAACCCTGCGCGTCATGACAGAGACTTTCGCATCTCAATGGCGCACAGTTGGTGGTGATGTCAGTAAATGCCTTCACACGGACTCTAAGAGTGACTTCATTGACTACGTTACGCTCAGCGAAGATATGATGGACGCAATATTGCTTAATGGGTAAGTGTTTATTAGGTACAGGCGCTGAGCTGGACTAGAAGCGGGTCATAACGGTCCGTTTTGCGTATAAAAACTCCTCGACTGTCTTTATAACTAAGCGGAATATCAATTCCCTTCTCATGCACAATAGTCTTGCCTATTTTCTTATTCCACTTATTGGCTCTCTCTTATTGGCTCTTATTGGCTCAGGAATTGTCCTACCTACCTAATTCCGTTTGGAAATTGTGATATTTGAATGAGTGGATGCCACGAAATTTTCATTAGCCCGCTCATGTGGCGAACAGGAGGAAATATAGATTTGCAGCCAAACACGGACTCCGGTAGTTCCCCTTGGTTTATCTGCCACTGGTTCTGTAAAAGTGTACCTACCTACAAATAATCTTCAAGACAATAATTGCCAAAAGTCATAATTTACTTTATTTAGAGCTGTTAATTAATACTTTTTCAGCAACTCCTCATCGCAAGAACTAGAAAAGTTATCCGAAGCGGACCGCCTTAAGTTACTCAAACTTCTAAGCCAGAGCAAGACGCCCCTCTGGCTAACAGAAAGCCGTCACTCCAGCCCGCACGACCAATTATTCCGAGCAGCCGACTGGATCACAAGTCTCGGGTATTCCGCGAGAAATGGCTTCGCAGTGCACTTTAGGGAACTGGTTGAAGAAGAACTGTTTGAACCTACTTTGGTACGTAAACTTCAACACAGATATTTATAATCAAGTTACTCCAGCTGGATATCTATGTTCTGTATACAATATCTATGATCAGTGTTAGCTTTGCGATGTTAATTGAGTCTTGCGTCATGATCTTGCAAGTTGTGAGTTTATTCGAATCAAATAAGGTATATTAGAATCATTATCACTTCCTTCAATGACGAAAATAAATACCGCGAGGAAGCCTGCATAGTTATAACAGACCCGCTGCATATCTTTGTTCATATTTATGGTGTATATTTTAAAAATAAGGAATAAATCCATACTGGCAAAAGTGGTCTCCTTTAAGAGAGATAATGTCTATAATCGCTTAACAGGTTGCAGTGTAGATTTTCAGAACGATGCAGATATTAATCTGTTATTTACATCGTATGACAGAGTTTCTACATGGCTCTACTCTTCAAGAACCTTGTCGGCGAGCGAGTGCTAAATGTTGAAATGGAAGCATCCCAAGCGGTTCTATTTGCACATTGTACGTCGTTACGTCACAAGCCGGTGCCTGGGGCTGTCACTTTGTATGCCGCGAACATGGACAGCGCACCTGCGAGGTTTTCCATTAAGCTGCCGAGACGGGAAGAGGGAGGGGATATTATGCAATTTATTTTGAGCCAGGACAATAGTGGGTAAGTTTGTAATTTACTTCTTTAGCTCAGTGACTCATAGAAAAACTTGAAGTTTACATGTCTACTTGGTGCGAATTATGACACAGGCAAAAAAATAAACAGAGATCTATTGACGATATGTTGTATGTAAATGAAGTCAAAGCCATTCTCAGCACGAAAAGGTTACAAATACTAGCGCATTTATTTACTCATGTGTAGGTACATGTTTTGGTGCGGCACAGAAAATATGAATAGATTATCTTTTATCGTCAAGTGGGTGTAGGAGAAGAGCTTCTAATGGATACAGAGAAATCTAGAACATACGCGGCAACTTTTCGTTAGTATGAATACATGTGTGAGAAAACCTAAAGTCTAATTCTGTAGATTCTAACTCGGCTGCCAAGATTAATAATTTATGCAAATTCTCCAGAGACTATTGCTAGTGATGGATTGTTGTTGTTATGACTTATGATCACTTACTATTAATGACTTTTTCAAATTCCAGAAATATTATCGTGAACGGCAAAGCAATGTACCACGAAAGTGACATCCGACCAATCGTCAAACGAGTTCGCCCGTATAGGACTCTATTGATCAATCTGCCAGCCAAATCCTTCGGGTTCTGGGTCCTGGCTAACACTAAGATCGAAGCATGTCATGATTACGAAGATGATGATGTCATAAAAAATGAATTGGTTGAAGCCATGTCACTGGATAATGAAAGCGACTCAGAAAACACTGTTAAGATTAAACGTTCTATATTATCTAACTTGGACGCCGATGAAAGGAATTCCAAAGAGGATAACAGGCATAACTTGATTATGAATAAAGACTTGAAAAAGAGAGTTAAAAATCTGAATAGTAACTTAGACAATATGCTTAAGGTATTTAACAAAAATTCAGTTTTGAAAAGAAAGAAACGTTTTACATCTGACGAAGATCACAGTGATGTCAAGAAAAAGTTGAGATACTTGAAGCGTAGACTAGAAGAAAAATTAGATGAGAGCCCTAAGTTCGAGGTTTTTCGAAAACTATTAGGAACGACCAAAAACGAAAAAGTAAATTATAGACATATAATAAAGAAAGCGTCCAGATTTCATAGAAGTAATTTTAATAAAAAAAGTGCTAAAATTGAATCTGCTAAGTCAGTTGACGACGATTCTTTCGAAAGTAATGTCAATGAAAATAAATCAAGAAAGCGAAGAAGTATAAGTGAAGAAGAAAAGCACAATGAACATAATATTAAACATAAACATGCGAAAGAGAACTCAGCAGAAAATGAAATAGATTCAGATTTGAAACAAGCCAAATTATGGAAGATATTACATGAAATACACAAACAGATGAAAAAAATTGAAAATGAAGATGATAAAGTGAATAGTTCTCCAGATAATGACAGTGCAGACATTGATGAAAGGTCAAAGGATGAAGGTCATATCACAGCAAAGTCAAAATTATCAGATGATATAGCAACGGTGAAGTATAGCCGATCAAAACACGGACTTCTGAAATCGACGATTGACAATATTGTTTCAAAACTTGGTGAATTAAACAATAATTTGAATAGGTTTTGGAATGTATTTAGCTTTATAGAATAAGATTTAAGTAAGTGTTATTGTTTAACGTCTACGTATTGGTTTGTAAAGTGAGTCAGTTTCCTGTTATAGAATAACTTATTATAGATAACTTAGTTATAATGATTTTGTACTTTTTGTAATAAAATAAAACAACATAATGGTGGTACAATGTAGTTTATTTATTATTTAACAACATGGTAGATATACCATTTTCACATTCGTCATCGAGGCCTCACATGAAAATGGCTACCTCTAAACTTTTATATAATAACTAATAGGGACTTTCGAAACGAACGAAACGCGATGCAAGTCAGAGACAACCCAGTGGCAGCAGAAAAAGCCTACATTTTATGAAACTACAAGTGACTGACAAAACTAACCCTTGTAGAAGAAAGTCGATAAACTTCAAAATGGCAGTATCGTACAGCCAGCAAACGGAACCTAACTTATTCATTAATAACAGTTCACAAAAGCTCAATCCGATTTTTAATTACCTAAAAACATTTTCAACAATAACCTTTTTTTCATTTTTCATCCATAACTCTAAGTTTATAATGTAATCGTGGATAAACTACTAACCTTTTTTTATAATAACAATACAACATACTTATGAACCACGTTCACGTTAAGTTAATGGTTTTCAATATCCATTTTTTTTTAATTTTGTTACACATTTTTTTTAATATACTTCGATCGGTAAACTTGCAATTTTAACACTATTTGTCACTAATATTAAAAGCTAACGCACTATATGTGTTCTTATATTGGCCGATTAATAATAATTATCCTATGAACAAACAAGTCTTTCTCGAGAATAACTCTGCGTGGTATAACAACGATGTAATATCACCCACAGATGATTTAAACACAGATAATTCTCTTGAAAGCGTTATTAACATATTCAACTATGAGGATTTTAAACCAAACTATTCTATGCCACGCAATCAAAGAATTTTCAAAAACAAAGCGCAAAAACTGTATACTGTGGCACTTCAAAATCAGTTCTTTAAATCCTTAATTGCGTGGAACAGTGTAACATTTTATCGATAATAGAATTTAAGAATATAGTGGGAAATAATACTGGCATTTTTGTGTGTGAAGAAGCTCTTATGTGTTGTGAAATGTGTCGTTGTCTCTAAATCGTCTATAACTATGTTCTTCCCTTTCGAGCACATTTGATCATGCATGATCGTGATCATGATCATAATTCATTATCATGAACACGATCATTCAGGTAAATGTTCAGATAGAAACATCGTATGATAGTTCATTTGAAATGTACTGCTTCTTCATCACGCATGATATGTTTGCAATAGTTCCTTTCCTTTCAATCTAAAGTGCCGTAAAGTGTTTTTCTTTCAGTCATCTCACTTTGTTCCGAACGATTGTGAATATTATGACAAGTGTATCTATATATTATTGCTGTCAATCATTTCAAATGTTCAACCATCCAATAATTTCCGTCAACTGCAACCGACTCAGAAATGATGGTACATTTCACGTCATTACAAACCGATTTTCGTTGTGCTGATAAGAATTATGGACTAATTTTGATTATTGTAGGTTTTGATCAAATAAATACAAATGATTTCCTGAGAAAGACAATGCAATGTATCAAAGTAATTGTCGTTGATAAAGATTTTAGAAATATAGAGTGCGCAACATGAAATTTACCATCATCTCTGTAAAACCTAAGGCTAAAACCTAGTGCAACTATCAATATGCTATTTATTAATAAAACGTTTAACAAGGTATGTATTAAAATGTATAAGTCTACACTTCATAACTCCTCTAAGGATAAGACAACAGTGAAAATTCAAACCTCCTACATTGAGGGCTGAGGAACTGGTGTAAATTCAAGAAAAGATCACTATCACTTCAATGTTTTTGGACGTCCGTAGAAATCGAATGCTTGTGGCAGCTCAAGACAATCTGAACGATGTATTTAATAAAGAGCTCGCATAGTAAGGCCGACTTGAACTGGCCATCATCTCGATAGTATAGATAGCTAATCGAATATGAGCTAAGCCGCACGTATTCGTTCGAACAGACGGCCATAGAAGATAAAGATGAAGCCTTTGCAGGCCAAAAAGTCATGCTCCCGACCTAAACTAACTAAACATACATTCACATAATATAAATAGACAACAAGTAGTCAATATATATTTACCCTGAGTTGGAAAGTCATAAGAATAAATTCATAGCAAATGATGTCAAGGAGAAATCTAAGATTGGTCATAAGTTCTTAAAATTATTCTACGGACACGGGCGTGAATCATAAAATGAATTTTTCGTATTTTATAAGTAACCATACAATTATGACTAAACTACACATCTACCTTGTATAAACCTCTTTATAAATTCACTATATATTTTATTTTATATAAAATGAAAATTTTGGTATATTAATAAGAATATAATATTGTAAATGTGCAACGACCTTAATTGAGATATAAATAATTCTACGTTCTTGAAAGACTTGTGGGTAAGAGATTGAATCTATATGTAGTGATAGTGTTAAGGGCATAAGGACCTTGATGTTTCAGAACACCGTGCGTAATGTTCAAAACACCGAAGCCAAAACATTGGTCAAAATAGACTCGAAATAAATGTTACAACCATTTGATATCACCCAAATTCCTTCACGTATTGCGTACTCAAGCAACATTATAACTATGTAATTATATAACTATAACACTGAACATTGAAAGCTTAAACATACAGACACGAAGATAGCTTTATAGAAGCGTCTAGATACTGTTTTAATGAAAATAATAAATACGAAGCGCAATTTATACAAACGTTGTTACGTGACAGGAATAACGAGGGCGTTGTCATTTATAAACATTTGAATGGCTTTTTTCGCACAGCTTCGATGCACTTAAATGATAGCGACCTCGCCATTTCCTTGACATACGCCGAATTTTGTATAAATTACGTAAATCACGAGTAAAGAGAGAACGACACCGAAACGCACTTAAGAGCTTTACACTTACCAACGAGCCATGCAAACATCTTCAACTCATACAATTAAACGCACGTTAATTTTAAATTAGTGACAGTTAGCCGTTATTTCCGAAACGTTAGTTGTAACTAGACCTCGCTACGTACCAAAATAATTTTCTAATACACTATATTCTACTTAAAATGAGAGTCAACAACGAAGAGCCCAGGTCTACTAACTAGTTAGATCGAAGATAGAAGATAGATAAAGGTTCTAGAGGGTAGTTTTACATATAGAAGTTGGAGCTAACACACACACTAAAGATATAAGTATCGAGTAGAGGTGACATTTGAAATTTGGTCGTGTATTTTTGAAAATCATTGCGACAGGTCTGTTTATTCACTTATAATCTATTATTGTTTATTCCGAGTAACTACGAACAACCGTTTAGCTAGAACTGCCATGCACATACATATAACTATTTCTTGTAATACATGAATAACCTAGGCTAATTACACATACACTGAAAGTTTTAAGTTATACCTTATTTTAATATTAAGATGTGAAGTTGAAGACGGACGGGACGAGTGCCTTTAAAGCGGTGCCCATCTTGAAGATATACATTTGTTAGATACAATTTATAGGTAGATATTGATATAGAAAGTCCAATTTTATCACTATACTTTTGACCAAGTAGAGTTCTTTAGGAAACAAATTCAACAACTTCTATTTTGAATTAGAAAAATCGTTTTATCAATACCTCAAAGAGCGCCTGACATCTATTTTTCTAACGTTTAGAAACTTGGATAAAATCTGTCTTAATTTTATTACAACTTCTGTACTCAAAGGACTCTAGACTTGGTTTGCAGTATAATAGTAAAGAAGGACATCAAAGATGTAATGGTAGCTAGGCGTGCTCCAAACAAGATACTATTGAAACAAGCTATGAAAATATACATCAATGTGCAGTAGAGTGCGAAAAAATATTTTGAATCTTATACATCAGAAAATAGCGTTCTCAATAACAATCAGAAATTATTGTTTGTTCTCATTTTATTTACATTTGTTTAGTGTATATTGAATAGATTTTTATATACTGTTTTTGATTTGCTTTGTGATAGTTAATTGACGTTTTATGACAAAGAAACTACGCAAAAATATAATCTAAATAATCTCGGTGTCAAACTAGCAAGCAACAACGTTACATAGTGTAAGTATATAGTGTTTTTATAACTCATTTACAAATAACATAATCTTAAACCTAAAGGAATACATGATGTGCTGATTTGACCGCAGAAATCGAGAGCTCGAAATCTACAAGAAGGAAAGATGACCACAGAAGTGTCGATCATTGATATGAGTTACTTATTTAGTGATAGTTCGAAACGCGAAGAAGTTTATAAGCCTAAGTACTTCCATTTTAATACACCAAATCTGACATCTGTCATCGTGGCGCATATATTCAAGTGATTTGAACATTCCATCCTGTTTAAGTTTGAACATTTCGATTTCGATTCGAGCGTGATAGGAATGCTTTTGACAGTTACAAGTACATAAGTCATGTGACAGATGCCAAATGGAGTTAATTACAGTGAAAGTATTTACCTAATAATGAGAAAATGTAAGGGCGCTACGGCTCACGGCGGCGGCGGCGGCGGCGGCGCGGCCGGCGCCGCGTGATGGCGCACAGCGTTTGTTTATTTTATTTAATTATTATCACAGCTTTTGACGATAACAAATCTTTTGCATTTGCAGCTTTATACTGTGGAGATAATTGTTCGAACAATTTGCTTTCATCAACGGGAACACTCCATCCGAGATATTAGTAATTGTATCATTTGTGTGGCTGTATTTGGTCGGAAACGCACCTTTATGTCAATATTTTCTTTAATAGGTACCGCTGAATTATTTATATGTGGAAGTACTGTAATAATAATTTCCAAGGTTAGATGTAGTGAATTTTGGACTTTTGGACGTCGTTCTTGTAGAATGACAGGCAGGGTGGTGAATTTCGATCAATGTGTGGCTTTTTCAATATTTCTCAATACATCAACAACATTATTGTGTGTCCTTTCGTGTATTTTGTTTACAGATGATTCAATTATTATTCCGACGGATCTCTTTGCGATCAACGCACCGAATCGCTCGAAGAATTTGCTCTCACAAGCGTTAACTTTAACATCTAAGCGTAAAACATCGATAAAACATTAGATTCAAATCCAAATAGCGTCTCCAACGCCACATTGGTTCAACTGCAACACACTCGAGGGCTGGGACTGGATCTACATTACACATTATTCTAAACGAACACTGATCTTATATTAGAGACATGCAAGAAAAAACTGGACAACTATCAAATGCCGCGACCACGCTTTTGAACGAGGCGTGGAAGCGGACTCGTTAACAATATTGTATGTACCTATTAATATGTTCGATGTGGATATTAAGGCTAGGTCCATTAAGGTATGTACACACCTAAACAAAATACACTGACACAATACCGATTGACACTGCATAAGCACGCATGCAAAAGATTTAGAGGCAAAAGTCGAAGAGTGAGTTCGAAAGGAAACGAGCGAAGAGCGTAAGCCACACAGACACGGAGATACCGGACCGGAACGGACCGGGCAAAGCCGGAATTTGGATGAAACAAATATTCAGAGACCGAATACATTGTTATTTCAATGTAAGTTGCGCGGAGAGATAGACGAGAGAAGTACCGTACGACAGACAAGTATGAAGTCAACTACACGCGTGCTAACACTTCTTATATTACATTTCCCTCTTTTTAATAATATTACACCGTCTTTTTGTATTATATTATTTCCTCTTTACACTTAAATAACAATATATCACAAGCATCAACATATAAAACGGATTGTTTCACATTCTCACAATGTAAAGGTCGCTGGATCGCGTGGGTGACTTTTTGACCTATAGCTCCGATCGCGCTTCTGTGATGTCAGTTGTGTCGAGGGCTGCTCTCCACAATTTATGAATGTATAAAAATATTATTGCTCATCATCAAGCACCAACGCGCCACTAGCCAACTACGTTCCGAAAAAATTTAGAATTCAAATCTCTCCTACACAAAATTTCTTGAGCGCGAGTGATACGGTTTTGGAACGAAATTCGTTTTTTAGGGATTTCCGGATGGGGGTGGAGGATTTTTTTTTACTTTTTTCTTCTTTTTTTCTGGTATTGGGTTGTGAAACATCTTTGTAACAATGACCTTAGTACAGCTACATCATGTATTGCGGCGTCGGCGCCGGCGGGCGAGACACGCGCGCCAACGCTCACTGCATCACGCATTTGCTTTCGATCTGAGATTTCAGTTCGTTTACTTGGGTTTCGATGGTGTTTTTCAACTCTGTAACACAGGAATATCACATTTTATGTTAATAATAAACAACTTCAATGATATACAGGGTTATATTAATTTTAATTTTAACTGCCTCTGTGGCCGAACGGTTTCCATGCCGGACTGCCACGCAAAGGTCCCAGGTTCGATTACTGGGCCGGGAGAAATATTTGTATGGCCTACATTTATTTCTCTTGTGAGTTTGGGTGTAATTTGTGGTTGTCTATGTGTGTGTTCATGGCTCCAGCCACACAGGGTTTCCCTGCTTATATGGATATGTTGCGTGTGTGTGTTATTATTATTATTATTATTTGTACAATACTAAGAATCTCGCAGGACTATGTACTAACGTCATAAACTATCAAACGACCGTTACCGTTAAGTCACAGTTCGTACGAATGCAGAACTTAAATGAATTAGCCCTAGCGTTGATTAAAAAAGTTTCCGTTGCTCAGGTTCACGCATGCGTTAAATCCGAACTTTGGGGGCTTTCGTGACATGGCTTTATGTAAAAAGCAACCTAATTTCGGAGAGATTCGCATTTAGGACACGTCTGCGACGATACTAATTGCAACTGTAGTCAACATAAGATAAAGCTGATATTGGAAACTGGAGTTTGAAGATGATATTGTCATTTCTCTAGTATTACTCCGCCTATGCTACATACTTACAAAGTGTCTGCATGAATTTTAAGTTTGGTTTCCAGTATTGGGCAATGAAGTTTATTTGGAATTGGAAATTGAGAACAAAAGAAAAGGTCAATCAGTTTTCCTCGTCTAATAACTGAATATTATCCCCGATCAATGTCGATTCATCACCTGATTTTTGGTAAATTATTCTTGCTTTATGTATATTTCATGTCTTTAAACTGCGTTTACTGCGAATAAATTTATCATTTATTGTTAAGAAAACAATGAATTCACACGCTCTTCTTCTTCTATGTAGTATCTTTTAATGGAATATCCATTTTTACTACAATCTCCCCAGGAATTGTGTCTGTATGTTACTTAAATACAGGTATGAATACTCACTGGTGAATTCGTCCTGATCTTCGAGCTCGGCCTCGGCCGCGAGTTCTTCAGGAGTCTTCTTCTTCCTCATGAGCGGATTATCGGGCTCTGCCTGCTGCTGTTCCACCACCTCCTCCTTCTTTGGGATTTTGTACTGGAAACAGGAGAGAGTTTCATTTGTAGTACATTGTTAAAAATATGAGTTTAGGAAAAAGAATGAGATCTTTAAAAATAATTTATATACACGTTTTTATTATTAAGTGATAGGACGAACAAGTCGTGCGTCTGGTCGAAAGCAACACGCCTACTTTTAACAGTCGCAATGCCACTCAAAGATTCAAATCGGAAAGATCTGATTGTTATTGCACCCGTTACCTTGATGTGAAGCTGACAAGTCCCAAGTGCTAATAGTTTCACAAGCGCACTTACCGTTCAAAACTGGATGCACATATTTATTTATTTATTTTATTTATTTATTTATTTACTGCCGGCAGAAATAGGTAAGGTGGCAATACTACCCTGGACGAACGCCTTCATATGAAACTCTACTGCTAGTAAATTCTACTATATTTTTGGATGCACATAAAGCTATGAAATGAATAATGCGGCCGCGCGGCCGACCGTACTTCTAAAAGCTGATATTATCTTCCCCATTTTTCACGTGCTTGTATCATGTAATATACGAATATAGTAACGTAATATTACGTCCTTAGGGGCTGAAAAATAAATGAATATGCACAAGTCTAATAAATAAAAGTTCTTATTTCCTATATTTTTGCAATTATAATGTAACTTCAACGTTGCGTTGATCACTGTGACCCAGCGGTGACACTGTGAGCGCTAAACGAGGAGCCCTCGATAAGATTCCCGAAAAGATCAAATTACGACATCACCTTTTATAATTGATTCTGGTCTGAGAATTCTAGGCAGTACTCTTGGGATTGATTTCGTTACTTTCGTATTTTTTAAATTCTAGGGCACCTTTTTGTAGCGACCAGGTAATTGAAGAGGTAATGTTTGGAAGGCTGTCTAATCTAATTAAGGGTTTTCTTTATTTCTTTATGATACATACATTGTAGATATAAGTTGACAAGTCGCATGTGTCTGTAATTTCACCAGTACCCTTTCCATTAAGAACCGGAACAAAGTAAAGCTTACATTATTGCTTGTAATTCCCTGGACGAACTCTTTCACAAGGAGCTCTACTGTTAAAAATCTTGTATTTTTTTCAAACACACCACCTTTTCGGGCACTTGTCAGGTCCCATGGTCACGGCTGACTCGTTGTTTTTTTTTTGGCTGGCTGGTTTGTTTGAAAAAACAAATATACGCGATAGATCTAAAGCTCCGGAAAACTAATTTCATTTCCAATGTGTAAGAATCGTGGAAATCTGAGAACACGACCGACAAAATGTACGTAATTTAGTAATGAAGCGCCGTCTTAAGGATTTTAAACCGTCGACCTCACAATGAAGAAGTAACCATTCTCTCATTATTTCGAATTGGAATTTATGGTAGTCATTATGTCGATGTAGATCTATAAATTAATAACTCTTTGATAATATTAATATTTCCTCATTACGAACCAGTTGCTCCCCGTCCCTGCTGAATTTCATGGTTTTCTGCCGAGACGCACGGCCCGTTAATAACCCTGAGAGCCGCTTTTCATCGCCGATAATTAATATTAAGTGACTCCGTGGGCCAAAGCTAACTTTAAAAGCTCTTATTATAATTGTGTCGAGCTTTTGTTTCGAGTTTTGGGACTTCGCTCGGCGAATTGAAAATTGTAGAGAATATTTAAGTTATTGTAACTTCTTTCAAGTTATATTGGAGGGTGTGGTCATTTATTACGGCTGTAAAAGGACACCCGTGCTCAGCAAAGACACGTACATATGAATTCAAACATTATATAGGTAAGCAATTACAATTGGAATCGTCACCTTGATTAAACTCTACTAGGCAGATTCCCCTGAGAAGAATGTGCTAGAAAGTCTAGGGGTTGCTCTTTGTAAATAAACATTGCGCATATTTATCATTTACCACATGGATTTCTAATATCATTTTCATCGAGACAACCTGCAAGAGCTAAACGGGTCATTACCATGGATTTTTCTCACTTTCGTTTCAGTTTTCAAAATTCGACTTTTTGTTTCACTATAGTTCTATACCTTGACCACAGACCTAGACAAACCGGAATCTTATTAAAGATGCGTATATACACATTGCCCTTTGTGACTTTGTGACGACGGCTGTCAAGAACATCTAGTTTATTTTTATTCGTCGTATTAATGTTTGTTGTCCGTTACTGTTTTTCATAAATAAAATATTATTCTTCTTAACATAAATTAAATTTCCATAAATGGACTGCGACACTGGTGTTAGAATGTTAATTTCTTTAAAAGGATTGCAACATCAAGGTAGGGTGATGGTATCAGTGATCGGCATTTTAAGGGAAATATGTCCTTAAATTTGAAATAACTTTATCAACAATTATTAGTTTACTTGACAGATATTATCGTCAGTATAGATCATGATGTAGTATGTTTCATAAAAAAGCTATTATAATATAGAAAATAAAACTATTTATCGGATTTAACTTGCGTATATTTGTTTTTCAAACAAACCCGCGATTTAAATCCGAAAAAGAGTTTCATTTCCTATGTGTAACATTCACGAAAACCTGAGAACTCGATAGCTATTATAATTATTACTAAAAAAACCAACCAAAAACAATTTTTCCAAATCTCTAGTAATGAACACCAATTAACTTACCAGTAATCGATACCCATCAGTAATGAACACACAGTAACTCACAGTTACCAACAACAAATGTGTTATTATGATAGAAAATTTTGTACTAAATTTTATTAGAAATGAATTTAAAAAAAATGTCGGTAGTAATGGTTAATAATAACAATAATGTGTCAAATGACCACTTCACCCCGAGGCATTACCCAGAACACCTAGACCAGAACCAATTTAGGAAACCCATTTCTTAAATTGGTCCTGTCGGGAATAAAGCCCGGGATTTCATCATCCACTGCCCAAAGTGTTAACTGTTGGGCCACTGAGGTCGTCGAAACCCTTTACGTTTGTCACAAGAATTATCAATGGACTTCTTCAAGAAGGCGCAGAGCGAAGCGGTTCTTAAACCGTGGTAACCTAGTGGCCTAATAGCCTAAGCCTACCGCCTCTTAAACAAAGGCCGTGGGTTCGAATCCTGTCTCGGAATTTATGTATGGAATTTAATTTGAAATTTACAATGAGCTTTTCGGTGAAGGAAAACACCGTGTTGAGACCGAAGAAGTTTCACAACCCACATAAAACGTGTGAACCCTCGCCTGAGAGGAGACCGGTACCCAGCAGTGGGACGTATAAATGGGACGACGATGATGATGATGACGACTTTGTTTGTTACTTCTTACACCCGATAGAAACAAACTTCGTATCTCGATGTACATGTAGGTGCTTATGTCTATATTACATAGACTATAGTTGAATTTTTTAACAGAGATAACAAACTGACAGTTGTGACTAATAATATCGCTTTGAGAACTAATGTTGCCATGCTCATTATACAGTGATGTGTTTAATTCAATGTTTAATAAAGTAGTAAAATATAACTTGTCAAAAAGAAACGTCAAAGATTTTCAACAGCATTTCATTCGATATATTTACACATTTATAATTTTTTTGTAATAAAATTATTTGTCCGTTTAGTATAATAGTCACAATGTGATCATACGTCATATGTGTTTGTATCACAGGTAAGTTATAAAAATTAAACAAACTACTTTATAATTCTTTTTTTAAAACTTAAAAAAACATCGACTACTTTCGTTCGCAGAATCTTAAGATAAACTTCTATCTCATTACACCAAGAGCGCATCTTATAAAATTAATATTCCTACAAATTATTATGGATACAATTTATGTTGATGATCTACTGAGTGAGTGAAGTCGATCTTTTAAAACAACACCATTTTTATTTCATCAAAAACTGACAACCCAGCAAACGTCAGTTTATTACTTCTAATTAAAATCCGACTATACTATACTATTCTGGGCTAGACCGACGCGAACCTGATCGATAAATAATAAATTGTTCAATACTGAAGCCGCAAGAGACAAGCATGTACGTTTTTTATTACTGCAATAAGCACTCCGATAGACAGAATATGTAAGTGGTTTACAATACGTGGTACTATTGTTTATAGAGTCACTTTGAGCTGTTAATTATTTGAGTGAGTAATCGGGTTAATAAGTGATTTTATAAGTCAACTGTTGCGAAATCGTTTATCGTCCAACAAAGGGCAGAATATTGTTATTGTGAACAAGTGGTAGCCGACACGCCCGTACGCAGTAGTTTGTTGTGCCACCCAGAGCTTTAATGACAAAGATCTGAGCGGTGCTACCACTGCGCCCGTCACCCTGAGACATAAGTTGACAAGTCCCACGTGAGCATAAATAGGTAAGATGGCAATACTTCCCTGGACGACCTCTTTCACAAGAAGCTACTATTCATCGAATTAAATTTCAATCAACAATAACATCCCATTTGCGATGTCATGCGAGTTTTTATGTTACACAAATATACGTCTCTTACACTCCTAATTACTTCGAATTACTGTAGAATTCTGTAACTTACTACAGGGTTGTTGTAAAAAAAAATAATTTTGAACATATACCTTTTGCCATACCTGTTATATAATAAACATCAGCATGTTTATTCAATCATTTATTTAATGATAACTAAAGCTACGTGCTACAAATTATGCACTACAGAGAGGACGCCATGACATGATATTTTAGTCGTAACATAATAATTATGCTCTGCTTCTTTTTGGAAGCGTTCTTCACTAATCCTCGAATGTCTACCTTTTTTATATTAGAACACAACTCATTTATAGAATGAGTTTGTCACGGGCTACGGTTTTACATGTAACGGGATAAACGAACATAAATTGCTTTGAAAAATTTGCCTAACGTTGGTTGTAGAAGAAGGATATAACTTTGCGATGTCTGTGCATAGTTCCATAGGTTAATTTTCTGATAAAAGTCTCGCATTAAACTCTGTTTTGGGTGGCGACATGAACGCATTAAGTGCCCCAGTCTCGAGGCATTATTTTTTCATTTCATTCATTTTTTTCAGAGA